AAGACAAAGAAATATATCAAATCTCACATGGCAACGAAGAAACCCAAAACATCGAACTTTCTTCGTTAAAGAAGAATTCCTCCATGTTGAATTTCTATTTGAATTCACAATATTTGAATTCCTCCAAATATTTTCACTTTCTAAAAATTCCATAAAAAAGACTTTTCATTTGATAATTACCTACAAAAAAGGCCCAAACTTCACCTATTTTAGAAGCCTCAAGGTGGTCTACCTCTCATGAAAAAATAAGTGAAAGAGTAATTTTAAAAATTGCACAAAACAGCTGAAAGTTACATTTACATCCTCAGAAAAAATGGAAACATTTCATTCAGCAATTACCTCCAAAAAAATTCCCAAATTTCGCTCATTTTTAGTCGCCCCAGGGTGATCTACCCCTCGAGAAAAGAGCAATTTTAAAAATTGCACAAAACGTCCGAAAGTTACGTTTACATTCTCTATAAAAAATTGAAACGTTTCATGCAGTAGTTAGCTCCAAAAAAAAATTCCTAAACTTCGCCTATCTTCGAACACCTCGATATGGCGTACCCCTGAAAAAATAAGAAAAGACAGACAAATCTACCTAGAGAGAGAGAGGGAGAGCACGCGAGTTATTCGAGGAGAAACCTTGTGTGTCCTGTGGCGATCGTAAATCACGGTCGGCGATCTTCCATCGAGCATCGAGGATTAATAATCGTACGTGGGGAAAGACGAGAGGGACAAGTGAAAATGGAGAAGAGAGAAATGTAACGGAAGAGAGAGAGAGAGAGAGAGAAGCGGGGAGGGTCTAATATCGTGCATGTGTGTGACGTTTCAGCTGGTGGCCAGGCTGGATGAATAAACGTCTTCCTTATCGTCTAAAATAGACTTTAAACTTCAAGCATATCTGGACCAAAGCCAGGTCGTAGGAAAGTACAATGATATTAGCCATGTTGAATTGTTACACGAAACCACCGAAACGCACACATCTCGAAACCCCTGTCCCCTTGAATTAATAGCCGGCACCTACTTGTTCTGACTAATGGACACACCGCTGGAAAAGAAATATTCCATTCGGCCCGGTTTCTGCCGGGCCACCTTAACCCTTTTGCCGCGCCGCGAGGGGCGTGTATTTACGTCCTAGTTCTGCGGGAAAAGGGTCACGTTCGCTTTGTGATTCTCGAAAAGAGATTCGACCAACGTGAATGCACCGTGTTCTGTGTGTAGAAGGGGGATTTATTGGCACCGGAGGTACTTTCGTATTATAATATGCTCGTTTTGATAAATAACGTACAGTTGGGACACGTGGAAAATGGGAAATTTGTGTTTATCGAGCGAGTCGAAAGATAGTTACTTTGGTAATTAATTTGAAAGTCGTCGTCTTTTAAGCTGATTTTATCGAGGACGTAGGAAGAATGAATGTTGATGTATAGTTTGTGGATAAAATCAGTGGAAAGGTGATTTTATCTGCTGAGTAAGAAAAGTGAATGTAAATGTATAGTTGGTGAATAAAATCAGTGTAAAGGTGATTTTATCTACTAAGTAAGAAAAATGAATGTAAATGTATAGTTTGTGGATAAAATCAGTGTAGAGGTGGTTTTATTTGACCCTTTTGTTGTTGTATAAGGCACCTGTGTAAATGGGAGGATTTGAGATTTCGGTGAAAAATATTTTCAAAAAACGAAAAACTTTTTTCAGATATTGAGATATTTGATATTTATTCGTGTTTAATATTTTTGAGATATTTAGTGTTTATTCGAGTAGAAGTGTACTCGGTCTTAATCTACATTCGCATAATTTTCTACGCCCTCGTTCATAAACAATCCACTGTGCATTCCAAAATTTCCAATATCAAAAATCTCAAAAAAAATTTCCCAAAAAATTAGAAATTAACTTATGACATAATCTCACGTCAAAATGAATGTATAAGTTTTCGCATGATTCTCTACATTCTCGTTCATAAACGAAACCACTCTGCACTCCAAAATTCCCAATTTCAAAAATCTCAAAAAAAATTTCACAAAAAATTAGAAATTAACCAATGACATAATCTCACGTCAAAATGAATATATCAGTTTCGCATAATTCTCTACATTCTCGTTCATAAACGAAACCACTCTGCACTCCAAAATTCCCAATTTCAAAAATCTCAAAAAAAATTTCACAAAAAATTAGAAATTAACCAATGACATAATCTCACGTCAAAATGAATATATCAGTTTCGCATAATTCTCTACATTCTCGTTCATAAACGAAACCACTGTGCATTCCAAAATTCCCAATTTCAAAAATCTCAAAAAAAATGTCCCCAAAATTAGAAATTAACCAATGACACAATCTCACATCAAAATGAATATATCAGTTTCGCATAATTCTCTACATTCTCGTTCATAAACGAAACCACTGTGCATTCCAAAATTCCCAATTTCAAAAATCTCAAAAAAAATGTCCCAAAAAATTAGAAATTAACCAATAACACAATCTCTCATCAAAATGAATGTATAATTTTCGCATAATCTCTTACACCATTCTTTCCAAACAAAACCACTCTGTTCCCCAAAATTCCCAATTCGAAAAATCTTCAAAAAATTTCTCAAAAATTCGCAAATTAACTCGCGACAAAATCTGGCACAAAACCATCGCAGTTACCGCAACGTCGCTCTTCTCATTACGCAAGCGAGCGATTCACAATTCGTACGTCACCGTGAAAACAATCGAAAACACGGTAGCCGATTACGCATCCGCGCGAGATCGCTCATTAACCGTTTTTCGCGCGCATTCAATGTAAATCGCGATCCGGAAACAATGCGTCGAATCCAATTCTACTTGTCGGAGATTATCAGGGACGCGTATAAATAAAAACAGAAAAAGAATCCACGGAAAAACGATCGGACGTGGGTATGTTACACTCGTTCAGCCTTAATAATGCGCATAATATCGCGGAATCTGTGTGTGTGTGCTCATAGAGAAACGAGTAATACAACCGTTCCGCACTATCTGCGTTGCATAATCATTGTCGGAAGTTTCGCCGGAGGAATAAACCGTAAATATCGCTGGATAACCACGAATGTTACAACAGAACGTTACGATCGTCGAACTTTGCGCAGCTTCTCCACGATACCTCTCTCTCTCTCTCTCGACTGACGTCCATTTTATCTCCCTTATTAACGCTATAATTACACACAAGCGGACAAACGATTAAGGATTCCAGTTGAGGAAGAAAAAAGAAAAAAGGAAAAATTGAAACATTACAGATTCCTTCCTGCTCGCGTTATCACCACGAAATGGTAATTACGTTCGTTTATTCTGTCGCGCGCTTTTTCCCTCGCCGGTTTCATAGCTCAGCTTCCGTTTCACGCGCTCGATAACCGGTAATTAAAGTTAATACCGCCGGGTCTTGGTCGCGCGCCTTTTATTACGATTTCTGGGAAAGCGCGAACGTGGAACTGGTTTATGGAAAAGCAGACTTTCGTCCACCGCGGAAAATTCATTGGAGGGCTCGAGGCCGTTCGAACCGAGCTGTTTGTCTTGCGAAGAGAGAGACTTTTGTTGGTTTTCTGTTGGTTGTGCAGGAAGTCTGATCTAAATGGAGATTAGAGACGGCGGTGTAATCGAATACGTTCGAATGCCACGGATTAGTCGGATGTTTATCGGTATAGTTATTATCTACGTTACCATGGAAATTACGCGGTGATTATTCGAGTTTATCCCGTCGTTGACGAGAGATGAAAACCAGCTCGAATTCCTCCGTGGCTAACGAACTTAACGTTTACGATTTCGTAATTGATTCGAGTTTTGTAGCTTGCTACAGGGTGGAAGTGTATAGGATACACTTCCACGTTTTCAAGAGAAATTAATAGGAGAAAGATTCTTTCTGGGCAAATATTAATTCATTATTTGTCTGCGCAACTATACATCGACCCTCTGTAACGCGATTCTTCTTCGTTTAGGGGGAGAAAAATGATGACTGACCGGAATTGTGGAAGTGTATACGATACACTTCTGCTTTCAAGAGAAATTAATAGGAGAAAGATTTTTTCTAGACAAATATTAATTCATTATTTGTCTGAGCAACTATACCTTAACTCTCTGTAACGCGATTCTTCTTCGTTTATGGGAAGAAAAATGATGGGTGATTGGAATTTCAGATTTTGGTTGGAGAAGTATTAATAATTAATTATTAACAAAATTGACTAGTAACAATGCAATAGTGCAATAATAAAAAAAGGGAGACTTATGAAAAACTGATACCTGATACTTAACTTCCAAGTCACGTGGCTCAAAAATTCAGAAGTTAACTCGTGACAATCTCGCATCAAACGAGTGTACAATTTATAATTTTCGCATAATTTGCATTCAAAAAATTGCCACACAAAAATCTCCAAAAAATTTGCCAAAAATTCAGAGAGAGCCCAAAAAATTATTCAAGTTGAAGAAATTTTGTGAATCACCCTGTATAGTCTCCGAATATTTCCAAGAGTAACTGTACATTTTACCACAATAACACTCGAACATCGAGTCCCATTGTACAGTCTCACCCTATACATTCTTACAAACTTCATCTCACCGTCTAACCTTCTTCCACTCATCCAACAAAACCACAGCAATCACTTCCATTCCCTGACAACAGCCTGAAACTAAATAAAAGAACTAAAGCTTGCTTATTCTCTCTCTCTCTCGACATTAAACCAGCCACGCATCTAACAATTTTTCCGTATTAAGTTCGCCGTGGTTGTCGTCGCGTTCCAATTGAAAAGCAGAAAATGAATGCGCGGCGCGGCGGCCATGACGGTTCTGGTTCTGGTTCTCCACAGAGAAAGAGAGGGAGAAAAAGAGAAAGAAGAAAATTTCATTCTCTCTCTATATACACATATATATGTACGTGTGTGTGTGTGTGACTGTATACGTTTCTTCTCCTTTTTCATTTTTCCTTCTTCTTCTTTTTTTTCCTTTCTCCTCTCTCATTTTTACCCGCGACAACGGGGTTCATCATCCCTCTAATTGCTCGTCCAATGGCTTTGCAGTCGTATCCTGCGCACATGACCGTCGACTCGCAGAAGCAAATCGAGATACAGCGGCTGCAAACGGAGCACTTGAAGCGGCAGCAAGAGCACATCATGCAGCACAACATCCAGGAGCTACAGGCTCAGATGACAAAGAGCCAGCTGAGCATGTCGGGGCCGCAATCCTTGATGTTCCTACCGTTTCTCGAACAGCTCAGAGGGTTGCCAGTGCAATCGCCTATGCCTCCACCTCCGGCCACGTCGACGTCAACCACCACCAACAAACATATCAACTCGATCGCTAACGTACGTACAAACCGAAACGCCAATTTCACCCCTTCAGGGCCGAATTAGCCGTAGTTTAGACGTTACAGACGTGTTGGATTCGACGTTATTATGCACTATGCGAGTAACGCGACGCAGGTTTGGAAGTTTAGAAGGGAACGTGTCGGCGGAAACGGTATGAAAAATTCAGGCCGCGTAGCTTCTACGACGCGCCACATAGGCGGCGCCACCGACAAGGAGACGGATTTCATGGAAAAACAAGTGGAAAGTGTATTTGGAGACAGACGCGAGGTTCAAAGTGACGATTAAGAGGAGACGAATGGTCTGGTTTTAGTAGAGTTAGGTTTGGGTAGGTTTTTTTTCTTTTTGGAAATGCTGCGAGATGGTGGAAGGAAATTTTAAATATGTGGCTTTTGGATCTTTTTGGGAGTATTTGTGGCATGGAATTTTTTAATATTGTTTGGGGATTGGAGATGTGGTTTTTTGAAGAATACTGCGTTTTTGAAGAATACCAAATTTTATCTACACGTTTTTTGAACCCTTTTATATTGATTAGAAATTTTAAATATTTCTTGGGACCAAAGATATGATTTTTGAAATTTCACATTTCAATAAAAATTGACGAACCAAAGAAGATATTCTACATGTGATTAAAATTTGAGTTGAATATCCCTTACGATTTTTGAAAAGTTGAAAAATATGAAAATACATTTGAAAAAAAGAATACTATACAGCCACGTGCGAGAAATATGAAGAATTTTCTGTTCATTTGTTTTTAATCAATTTTAGATAATTTTAAAGAGTACATTAATTTTTAAAAATAACACTTCTTCTCGAAATCTCATTTCTTCCCACCAAAATACTTTTCTAACAACTTCGTCCTATTTGATCTTCTATTTTTTTTTTTAAGCTAATTTACGAGTAAAAATATGATAATTTTGGCAAAGACATCGGTGATCTATCAAAATGTGGCGAACAAAGTTGCTCGAGCGTTCAAAGAGATAGAACAGCAAATTGCATTGGCAACAGTTAGAATAGGTTTGATTCGATGATATTTTAAGCATCAGTTCTTTGAACCATGTTAATTTATAGAATTAGGTCTTGGGGAGGATAATGGTACACGTATTCCCCGAGGGAAAAAAACAATTCTTCTCCATTTTCGACTTGCTTTTTTCTCTCTTTCATCGAACGTGCAATCGCGATGTTTACATTCGTGGTTTATTGCGAAATCTCTTGTAGAGTTAATAAAGTTAGTGTTGCAACGTTGTAGATGAAAGATAAGCGCGTATAATACAGCGGGTAAGTCGCGTAACCTGTTACCAGTTGGTGTCTCAATAATAAGTAAAGATAGAGTAGAAATTCGTAATGGTTCATTGGCAGGAAAGAATGCACCATTCATAATGTCATTTTTCCCTTTCTTACACGTGCTAGTAGCTTGTTCAGATTGACGTCTACCTTGACTTTACGAGCAAGCTGCCTTTTTGTGCCAGAGTATCCTCAGGTTCCAGACAAATTATAGTAATTCTTCGCGATAATCTCGTTATTTATACGAAACAAACAAATTACGACTTATTTTTTTGCTTTGAGAAAACAAAGAGAATGTTAAATCTCGATCGATGAAATCTCACTTTGCAACATCTGGCAGAAACATTATAAACGTCGTATTACAAGTTTAAGAAAATATTTTCGTATTTTAAAGAAAAGAGGTATTTTTCTTACAGACACAAATTTTTGGAAAATTTAAAAATACAAAATTAATTTCACTTCGTAAATGTTTCCCAATGTTTACCTGTGTTTCTGTGATACGTATAGTCGGAGGAAGAAATATTGTGAGGTCATAGATTAAAGCATTAAGTAGTAGTGACGCTCACGTTTTTTTTTTCAACGTGCTGTACCAAAAATTGTCAATTTTATTTTCTTTTTAATTATTACCTAGGCGTATAGAAATAAGTTTCTCATTTATTTCTAATGCAGCGACTTACATTTTCACCGTACAATAGAAAGCACAGGCGCAATACGAAGAGTGAAAGAAAATAATTAAACAAAATTGCACTTTTTGGAGGATTAATTGTACACGCGTAGGACACAAGCAGGAGCGTTAAAGGGTTACATTAAGGCTAACTCCCTAAGTACAGTTTCGAGTCCCCTTATTTTCTCAAATTGTTGATATGCTAGAGCGTATAAATTTCTACGGTGAAATAAATGAAATGATAATGATTTTCACAGATGATCAGCAGCCATCGAGAAGGTCCAAGCTGGGCGACGGCGCACCTGGCGCAAATGACAACGCAGATGGAGAAAGAAGCGTCACCGACGCCAATTTCATCGGCGGTGGCGCCGACGGCACCACCTCTGCAAGATCTGGACGCGCCCCTGAACCTCACCAAGCCGAAGTCCTCGTCGTCGGGGGCCACGGCGTCATCCTCATCGCCCGGAAGCGACTCTCACTCGCGCCGCACCTCAGCACCCTCTCCTCACCGAGTAAGTGGAATTCCTATGGTGTACTTTTTTTTTCGATGGGTGAATTTGGGAAATGGGAGATCAGAATTTGAGTGGAACTTGATTTTTGAGAAATTCTTCACCTTTTTTTGAGAGGGCGATTCTGGAGAATAGGGAATCAAGATTTGATCGGAAACTGATTTTTGGAAAATGGAAAATCAAGATTTGGTTGAAATTTAGTTTTTGGGGAACTCTTCGCCTCTTTTTGAGTGGGTGAAATTAGAAAATGGGAGTCCAAGATTTGGTTGAAATTTAATTTTTGGAGAACTCCTTATCTGTTTTGAGAGGCTGATTTTGGGAGATAGGAGGTCAGGATTTGATTGAAATTTGAGTTCTGGAGAACTTCTTACCATTTTTTTGGAGGCTGATTTGGAAATGCAGGAGTTTAAGATTTAATCGACACTTGTTATTTGGGAACTCCTCTTGTTCTTTTGGGAGGGTGATTTTGGAAAAGGGGAGTTCAGGATTTGATTGAAATTTGATTTTTAGGGAACACCTTACGTTTCTTTTTTTGGGAGGGTGATTTTGGAAAATAGGTAGTGAAGATTTGATCGGAACTTCATTTTCAGGAAACCGACCGAGTGAGAGTAGAATTTTTATGGTATATTTCTTCGAAGTTTGTAGAAGAAAATATTGAACAAAATTTTTGAAAAGAACAAAAAAAGAAATATTGAGTAGATAACATGTGTCACAAGTGTTCGACTGAAATGAAGTTCGAATATCGTTAGAATTTCTTAAGATACCCCTTCAACACATTTTCCACTACAACAAAAAATCAAAGAAGACGAGAAATGCAACAGCAACCAATCCCACTATCAAAATCTCTCAAAGAATGCTGTCTTTATCGTCGTTACACAAGTGACTACTACACTATCTCCCAACACAACCAACCAGGAAGAAAAAGAAACAAGAACCAACCTCAAATCAATCCAGTATCTATCTATACACAAAAAACCTCCTCTCATCCACAAAACATACGACATGTATTGGAAAACTAGTTTGTAATTCAATTATCCCTTACAAGCGCGCCGATTTAATTACGATACAAATCATCCGTTATCACGGGCCATTTGCAGAATTACGTTTATCTGAAATCGGAACGGAGGAGCACGAAATAATTACATCCCAGCTTAGAGACACACCGGTCGTTTTAATCGGTCTGTTTTCGATAGCGCGCTGCTCTAACGAGGTGGACGGTGAAGTCGCGATAAATTCCATCATTAAAAGTACACACGCGCTCTCCCTGATAGAAATTCCGTTTCGCTGCATCGATACTATGGAAAATATCGATGTTCGATCCCCCTCCTCGTTCGGTAAACGCAATTCGCTCGATCGTTTAAAACGCGACAACCTGTGCGAACCTTTTTCGGTGAAATCGACGCGATCGAGAGGAGAGAAAGAGGGAGAGACATGCGAGCAACAAGGCCACATGGACCAGCAGATGGGACAAAAAAACAAAAAATCCGATCAATACCCCATAGAATAAGCTTCGTTCTCTCTCTTTCTCTCTGGACTCGATCAGAAACTGCCTGCATTGGTTAATTATCCTTGGAGTATGCGCGCACGCGTTTACCTGATTGTTCGCGATCGGGTTTTCTTTTTCCGTTCTCTGTTCTCCTCGCCTTCTCTCCTCTCGACAGAGGAGAAGGAAACCTGTTCCAAGAGTCGCGGCAGGTTTTTTGCATTCGGTTAAAGCACAATCAACGACGCGTAACGCGATTCTAAGATAAGAGGTGCACCGCGTATCCTCCGGGGGGAGAGAGAAAGAGGTGGAGGTTGAGAAGAAACGTATAGACTTGGCGGATTCCTCGAGCTGTCACTGTAATATTGGGTTGCTGCCGTTCGAGTTTCTCTGTTCTTTCGATACGGGAGAGGGAAGGTAATAATTTCGCGGTTTCCCCTATCGGGAGGAGTGTGTTGATACGGGGATATTGCTGGCGGAAAAGCGGGAAGAAATTGGGGCGTATTTTTGTGAGAGACCGCTCGTTAAGCTGACGTGGGAATTATTTTGATTGGTAATTACGAGGGATTGATCACTGTGTCCAGGAGAAATAATGCAGAGAGGATGTACAGTTGTGCACAGGGTGGGCTATGTGAAAGGGGTCATCTGATTGTCCTCTTTAGGTCGGGTGGGACGTGAAGATTTTTATTAAGATTAAGACTGTATTAAGATTTATGTAATCTATTGTATATATTAAGATTTCTTTAAGTAATTCAAAGGGTGAATATGGTGGATAAAATAGGTCTCCTATAGTCGCCTTGAATATGTATTATTCCAAGGTCAATGACCCTTTTATTTTACTTTGATTTTTGTACTGTGATAACTATGATTTTGACCACGATTGACTGTGAGTTTTGCACTGTGATGATTGTGACTTTGACCACGATTGACTACTATCCTTGCACTCGCCTATAACTATGATTCTGACCACGATTGACTGTGAGTTTTGCACTGTGATGACTATGGTTTTGGCCACGATTGACTATGATTTTTTTACTGTGACAACTACGATTTTGACCATGATTCACTATGATTACTCGCGTATTCGAAAATGTTTAGGTAGTGCACAGGGTGTATTAATTTACAATGAACATCTGAATTATTTCTGTAACTATTGAAAACAAGAGAACACGACTAAAGGAGTTGATAATAAAAAGTAATCTCCCTAAGATCACCTCGATGATGGTTCCAAGGTCACCGAAATTTTCTTGCACATCACTCTCCTGTTCTTTCATTATTTTTGCACAGTCCAAAGTCATTTCAGGACAAAAAAAAAATTTCAACTTAAGCGAGACACCCTGTATATTTGTTTCATCTGTGAAATCATACGTTGAAGATTTTTTTATCAATCGTTGCTTACGTTATTTTCGAATTGTCGACGCAGTGGGCAAGGTAATGGCCAAAGACGAAGCAGCTGAACCTGGAGGCGCCGTGGCAGCCGCCGCGGTCGCCGCCGTGGAGAAGCACTTCGCGATGCACGGCATTTACGCGATACCACCGAGTGCCGGTGCGATGCCACCGTCGCCACAGACTCAACGACCGATCAAGCACTCCGGTTCCCGGGAAGAGGCTGCGCAGGAGGAACAGGACTATCTGTCGACACCTCACAGTAAATGCTTTTCTATTTTTTTCCTTTTTTATGTATAGTCTGAGGAAGAAATACGGCGAGATCGTGTAAGTTAACCTCTTCAAGGACGATTTTTTTAACCCTGCTGCGTTCTTCGTTTTGACTGTATACTCGAGGCTTTTGGGTGAAAAGGGACATAAGACCTTATGTGTAATAATTTTTGTTTCGAACGCGACATACGAACCTAGACGATAAACGTTTAAAATAATGTTAAGTAACGTAAACTTGATAACAGCAAAAATGACTAAAAATATAAAAAGGCGGTGGGTCAAAAAAGACCCGAAGGCCGCTCTAGGGTTAAAGTTGGAAAAAATGGTGCAATTTTTTGTTCATTTTACATTGAGAACAATTCGACTATTTTGCTTATCAAGAGAAACTATATTCAGTTTCTGTTTTATCACTAAGATTGGAATTTAAGGAAACAAATTGACTGTTTTCTCAGAAATATTGGAATTTTCCGAAGAAAATTAATCGTTTCAACACAAATATTGGAATTTTCAAAAAAACAAATTATCGTACACATGTGCGAAAGTGTTCTTGAAGAGGTTAAAGCGATAGTAAACACTAATTCTCGGATTACGTGTACTTTCACACGTGACCGACTTTACGACCTCGATACATCGCTTCCACCGACTATACACTCTTCCCTCGTAATTCATGTGTATCACGTGTAGCACAATTAACACGTTTACTGTCCACCTAGACGCATACGACTCAGAACAGTTTGAACTTGTCCTCGTACAGATACAATCTTTTAATACAGAAACAAGCGTACGATTTAATTAAATTAACCCTTTCGTTCTCTTACGAATCAAAATGTTATCTCGTCGTTGGAACAGTCGATAAAAATTCAACTAAATCATACGTAAATACGAAGAATGTACTCAACTTCGTACTCACACATTTTGGACACTGAACGTGTTGACCCTGTGTTAACCATACCTTTATTCTCTTACGAACCAAAATTTTGCATAACCGACAAAAATCGAATTAAATCGTAAACGAAAAATTTCTTCGACGATTTCTCGTAATCCACCGACGCGTACCAGCATTGTAACAAACGACGATATTCTGAAATTACAGTGTGGCGGGAGCCGGGTTACAAGGTACCGGAAGACATAACGGAAAAAGGTAAGCAGTCTTTTCGACGAGCCACGAGGCTGACGTTACGCTTTTGTTTCGAGAGCGCCAGGTGATGCTCACGAAATCAGATTCGCTTCTCACGGGAAGGGAGCCGAAGTGGCGGCGCGTTGACATCTAACACGTCTTCTCTCTGTTCAGCTAAAATGGTGAGACAGCAGAAGAGGGAGGGTGAGAACAAGCCACATATCAAGCGGCCTATGAACGCGTTCATGGTGTGGGCCAAGGACGAGCGTAGGAAAATTTTGAAAGCCTGCCCGGACATGCACAACTCGAACATATCGAAAATACTCGGTAAGAATTCCAATTCAAAATTATCATACTTCTTAACCCCCTTAACCCTTTCGATGCGACTGATTTTAAACACGTTCAGATCCTCGCTTACGACCGTATCGTTCGATTTTACTCAAATGTTTGTCGTCGTTAATACTGAATTTTGTTCATTTTTTAATACTCTCAGCTCTTAACCCCTTCGAACCCCAAGCATTTTTGGATCGACCGACTGTAGCACACCTTTGCAGTGGAATTCTTGAAAACCGAAAGTTTCGCTTTGAAAAGGGAAAAATGTGAATTTCACGTTTTATCTCTATTAAAATGTGAATTTCAGATTTTACGTCTAAAAAGACTCCCAATTTTGGGTCGCGTTTCAAATTAAGTATGTCGAGTGCAAAGGGTTAAATATACGTGTTTTTTTTTTCATAAAATATTGTAGAACAATGTGGTCATTAGTGGATCACATCGTCCTGAACGCGTTAAACACCCGGTAGATAGTCGACCACGACTGGAAAATTTTTTATTTTGATCGTATATTTTTGATGTAAAATTTTTTTATTTTGGTCGCATCGTTTCGAAATTTGTTGTATAAAATTAAGACGAACGTGCGCAAAGGATGAAATTAAGGTGGAAATATTCCACCTACAGGCGCCAACAGTAGCGAAAGGGTTAAAAGTTTGAACTTTCTGCACGCTAGTTGGCTGCACTCCCGACTAACTAATGTATAAACGCGAGACTTTAAATATGAAAATTATATTTAAATTGGGAGAGATCGGGTCTTCATGGTTTAAATACCTCTACCGACGTGTTAGGGAATGTTTTACCATTTAAAAGGTGTTTAAGAGTCAGCAGATAACATTTACTTTATGGCAGACGGTTTACAGTTTCAGTGAAATTTGTATTGCAAATAATTTCAAACAGTATTCTGAAACTGTTTCTACCTTAGACGTAGAGTAACTCCTCTGATAAATGTCTACAATCTGAAATTAATATTTCATGATGCACTTACGATGTAGTTAACCTAACCCCGAAACGTTAGAAAACGCTATTAAGAATCTTCGTAAAAAAATCTACGATAGAATATGTCTTACTTCAAACTTACTCAAACGACATAAAAGAATTGAATAACTGCTAATGAGAATTCGAATTATTCTCTGTTCTGCGTTCCAACGTTTGGTCAACAGTGCAGCTGACTTCAGAGTGCCTTTTGGAACTCAATGAGGTTAGCTGCAACGTTGGAACACGAAACAATTGAATCCTAGTTCCTCTTATCCTACTTTATCGACAAAATCGCTGTACCGACGCACGAAACATGCGTACTTCACCACTCAACTGATGAACCTCGATAGTTTCACGAAATGGGACTGAAAAAGCTTGCAACTATCGAGGTAACCAATCAACTGTATGAAATCCCCCACTTCTACTATGTCTTACCGATGTCGGTAAGATTAAAATCCTCGCTTCTCTTACTATCGCGTATCACGTGTTTTCCGTAACTAGGCAACTATATCCACCGCGTCTTGACGAAATGCAACTGACGAGATTCGCATGCAAGTATCAAGAGAACAACTACCAAGATTCTACTCTGTAGATATATAGCGACTGTACCATTATCGAATTCGTTACGCAATAGAGTCCATCCGAATCCAATACAAACCCTCGTTTCTCTTTTCACAGGTGCTCGATGGAAAGGGATGTCGAACTCTGAGAAGCAACCGTACTACGAGGAACAATCCCGCCTGTCGAAGCTGCACATGGAGAAACACCCAGACTACAGGTATCGGCCGCGACCGAAGCGCACCTGCATCGTGGACGGCAAAAAGATGCGTATTTCCGAGTACAAGTCGCTGATGCGGCAACGACGGCAGGAAATGAGGCAGCTCTGGTGTCGTGACAGCGGCCCGGAGATGAGTTTCCTGTCGCCCGTCGGATCGGATCTAAGCGGGCAACACCATCCTGGCACGGGGGCCGGTCCGTCAGCGAGGCCTTCGGTGTCTCCGCCGGCCACCATGTTGAACGGTGGCGCTGCTGGTCCCAGTTCCGATCATCCGTCGTTCTACTACCCGCAAGACAGCCTGTCACCCACGGACATGATGAACTTCTCACCGGAGAATTCAGGCTCGATCGGTGGCTACGACGCCAGTCCACGGCATCACGACGAGGATTGAACCACAGCTCCGGGTCAGCCGCCATGGCCGCCCGGAGCATCATCTTCAGCAGCGTCAACGTCGAGACTCGGCCACGAGTTGTTTTGGTAAAACGTTCCCTGGTGAAGTTACGTGAATCCACGTATCTTATTACGTACCGAGAATGTGTACGGATAGTCGCGTCGGTAGTTTTTTGGGGAAGAACGTTTTTCCTTCTTTTTTTTCCTTCGAGTGGAAGAGAGTGACTGAGCGTTTTTTTCTCGAAGCCTCGCTCCAGAGAGGTTGTGATATAATAAACGAAAAGATTCAATTTCTGTGCCATCGTACCCGCGTATTCGAGCGGTGAGTCCATTGCTTCCTTGGCTCCGCCGTCGTCGTGTCTACGTGCGGGTTCTCGTGCACACGGGAAAAAGGAGAAAATATCGTTGTGCGAGATAGGTTATATACACGCCTGATATACGAAGTTGTTCGCGGGACAGTGTCATGGATACCGTACGGCCACACGTGACCGTTACAGCAGGCCAGCCAACCCTCGGCTTCAAGAGGCTATCCGCCTGTAACGACAAAAACAGGATGATTGCACGGGACACCATGATGAACATGAGCTCTGGATGATTTCCTGCTTGGTTATACTGTT